CAAAGACCAAATATTAGAAAAAAAAAAAAAGATTCTCTTGCATCCTAATCTATAGGTTTTAGGAGCTCTGTGCCAGGAACTGGGTAGGGACAGACACCAAATCTATATTTCTTACTCTATGGAACATTACAGTCTCCAAGGCCTTTTACCTTTGCCCTCTAATACACTCTAATGGTTAATTACAAGAGTTAGAAAAGCGTTCCTTAGAGACAAATGAAACTCAGGAGAGGCTGGTGATGGGGATGGCTGGGCCCTTTTCAATTCCCACACCAAGTGCTGAACAAAAAGCATGTGGGTTTGAGATCCACATTTGGTGGCAGGGTAGGAAGAGGGCAGAGCAGAGTTCAGGTCCAGTTGTGAGATGGGCAGCGTCCTCAYGCTCCAGCACTTTCCCTCCTCAGAGGGCCTCCTCTGCCCCTGCCCTCATTCCATCCTCTGGCCATTGAGAAGCCCCTGCCCAATGCTTGGACCGTAATACCCACTTCTGTCTCTGTGTCATGTTTGGTTACAGTTGCCCACCCCCCTCCCTTGCCAAAGCTCCCACTTCCCCTTTCTAGGCCTTATTGTCATCGTGTACACTAGCTGAGTGACCTTTCAGGGTCTCTGGGTTTAGACTCTGATACCCAAAGAATGTGAGTCTGAAATGGGTTTGTGTGAAGCTGTGGACAGAATCAAAGAAAGAATTCTTGGGTGTCTCCCCCTCTACCCACTGAAGTTTGTATTGTTAATAAAAGATCATGCCTCAAACCAGCGTTTCCCATAATTTTGTCTGGGCTATGATCAGTCTTCCTTCATGGCCAATGCCAGAAGGCAAAGGTGACACATTCCACCTGCCCACACACTTCCGAGGCTGCTTGTGTTGTCTTCCTGTAAATCTGCCTTCTGAGATACATTTACTGAAACATATTTCAATAAAACATCTAGTCTGTATTAGTATGGGTGATAAGTGGATAGGCATGGCAGGAATAGGGAAGGTGAGATCTGAAAAAATGAAATTGGAAAACATGACTTTGAGCAAACAAGGAATTTCCAGAAAGATGACTTTATTTTTATGTGCAGTACTGAGGATGAAACCCAGGGCCTCATGTATGCCAGGCAAGCACTCTACCACTGAGATACCCAGCAGGATGATGTCCATGGAGACTGTTCAGTAGAGGTGACATTTGAAATGACGTGGCCTTTCTGGCATTTCTACTGCACCAAGCCCAAATCCAGGGGACTTGGAAAGGGGGCACTCTCCAAACGTGTACATTTGCTCCCTACTGCAGGAATATGGGGATGGCTATGAATCTCTGCTTCCTGGCCATGAGTAACAAGCCTGCTTGAGTCTTGCTCTGTGATACTTTTCAGAGAGCTTCTTTGAAATGTGTTTTGCTACCAAACATGCTATTGGCCCCACTGAGTCTCAGATTACGAGGACTAACCTCAGTTGGGGCTAATGATGCTTCCCTTGACAATGTCTTAAAAATGAGACTAGTGTAGAGTTTTAGAATAAAATTCTTGCTCTGTTATTTTTTTGTAGTCTTGGGAAGCTATCAAACCTGGCTCTGCCTCTTCCCACATGTGTAAAATGAGGCTAATAGTACCATCCACTTTATGGGATTGTATATTTTGCAAATAGTATCTGGCCCATGCTAAACACTCACAAATGGAACATGTCAGCACACACTACCTACATATTACTGATATCTTTAAAAAAATGTACACAGAGTCTTCTTTCTGCCAGCCTGTCATGAAATGGGAGACCCGGGGAAATCCCCAGACACATCACTTCCAGCCAGTTTCTTCCACTATTTGGGAAACTTCTGATACAACCCACAGGGTTTTCTCTCCCTTCAATTTTCTTGTGACACTGACTTGCAGCCCCACATGTCCCAGAATGTGTGATATACCCAGAAGGCTCACAAATAATTTTTCTTTGAAGTTAGGCAATCTCCAGGAACAAACACTAAATCACAGAATTTTTTAAAAAATATTTTTTAGTAGTAGTTTGACAAAATACGTTTTTAAAATTTACTTATTTTTATGTGGTGTTGAGGATCAAACCCAGTGCCTTGCACATGCTAGGTGAGCACTCTATCACTGAGCCATAACCCCAGCCTCTAAACCGTAGAATTTTAGCATCAACTCTCTCATTTCCAAGCTGCCAACAATTTTCAATCTCTCTTCAATACTTGGGGACACAAAAATTCTCTGTTAGGGCAAAACCACAGTGGCCTTTTGTCTGAATAAATGTAAGACTCCACCTATTCTTTCTRAAAACAGACAGAAATATAGCTGTTTTAAAATAAAGGCTAGAGACTGAGGTTGTAGCTCAATGGTAGAGCTCTTGCTTAGCATGTATGAGCTGCTGAATCCCATGCCCAGTAGAAAAAAAAAAAAAAGAAAGGTAGAATTATGTAGTCTGGAGTAAAAGGGGCAGGAAACGCTTTCTGTCTCCATAAGAATTTAGCTTGTTCTGTATGTGAAGCAGTTTCACTGCCTACTGTTTACCAACTTGTCAGAGTCTGGTGAGACAGCTCACCCGTGTATACACCAGTTACAGGAAGCAGGCTTGTTACTCATGGCCAGGAAGCAGAGATTCATTGGCAACCACTTTCCCAAGGCTCTGGAATGCTACCCAGGCAGATGGAGTTTCATTTGCATCTGCTCCAACTGCGCCACAGCTGAGGAGCCCCAGAGAGCAGCCTTCCCTGGCTTTACACCCTAGGGACACATGATTTGCTGGGCTAAAGCATTGAAGGACATCCTGATTCTGAGAAGGGGGAGGAATGGAAGAGGGCTCAGGTTGTTCCAGCCAGTTCTCCACTATTTCAGGATGCTGCGTTCCCAGCACATTCTGCAGTTAATCTTGAGAACTACAAACAAGAAGTGGGGGAAACAGGGTTGATTCAARGCCACTAGAGAACTTCCTGTACTATGCTTGTATATTATGACTTTTTCTGAGCGGAGCATGTATTTGTAAGTGCACGTGTGCCTGCATGTGCACATGTGCATGTGCTTACACGTAGTATATATGGGACACCAGGAATGGAGGCTCCAAATTCATTCTATTCACCTCCCATTGGAAAGGAATCTGGCAAAAGATTGGACTCTATGAAAAAAATCCCAGGATTAATAAATTAATTAAATAAAATCCCAATTTTAGTGCTCAACTCACAATGGCTCAAGCTCCAATTGTTGAGCACTAAAATTTCGTGACATGTTCTATGTACTGAGATTCTATGCAACCTTAAAGACTGAGGCAGCTCCAAAATATCTTGTTTAGTGTGAAAAACAAGGTTCAGAAAAGTTTGTATAATAGGTCAAAAATGTGTGAAGTTCAGAAAAAGGATGAGATAGAATATTCTAGAAGGACGTGCAAGAAAATGATAATGACTGCCTTCTATAGCGCTAGGGAACTGGCAAGTGGAGGTGCATGGAGATTTATTTTTTGCCATATGCTTTCATACTATCTGATTTTTTAAAAAGCATATGTGTGTAGAACTCTAAGGAAAAACACTTTAAAAATTGATGTGAACTCATTTTGCAGTCAAAGCTGGTGAAGCCTAAAATTATTTCCTGAGATAGGTTTAGAGGCGGAGTCACTTTCTGCTGGGCTGACCCTGACTAATGGCTGACCAGGGTGTGGCTGCCAATACAGGCCCATTTCTACAAGACACGGGACTGCTTTAGCAGGAGACTTTGACTTAAGGACTCCCCGTTGGCCTGGGAAGCATGTTCTAGGAACTGTGCTACAATCCATGGCTGTTTCTAGGTTGTCTTCTTTTCTTCCCACTTTCTTTCATAAGTGTCAGAACGGCATTCCAATCTGAAGGCTGTCACCACCTTCTTCAACATCCCTTATTCTTCACAGTATTGGCCCAATAAACTTCTTGCACATCTAGTCCCACCCTAGAGTCTTCTCCCAGGACCTGAACTAATATATCTGGCCTGGTCTCTGCCATCAGAGCTGCCTTCAACATGACCTGCTTATTGCTGTGCTCTTTCCTGACGGCAGCAGTGCTGAAACAGTGGGATTATGTGCACAAGGGAAAGCAAGGGCTGACTTCAGCCCTGATGGTGCAGCACCAATGCCTCTTTGGGGTCGGTGGTACCAGCAGAGCTTCAGAGTGTGGGGTTCTGAGGCTAACTGGTCCTGCTTGACATCCCAGCTCTGCATGACCGCATACAAATTACTTAACTTCTCCATGCCTGACGGCTGTGGAACACTCGTGTGTAGACAGAATTCATCCCACAGAGTTATTGGGCAGAAAGGATCATCCTGGCCCTGCTGCGGGGAGGTCTGCCTTGCAGTGATGGTTTACAATTGAGGGAGTGCTGTCCAGGCAAGTGCCCTGCCCTCCCTCTTTCACCTGCCTACAAATAGCTTCCTGTGGTTTCTGCCACTCCTTTGGGTGAAGCGGCCACATGGTACACTGGACCCACCCTGGTTCCGGGCCCCCGCTCTGTGACTTTCACCAACAGCGTGGAAATCTTTTTCTTCTTCTRTTCTTCTATTTCTGTATTTGTGAATCCAGGAAGTTGTACATCTCTTCTTTGAGGTTGAATCTTACTTCTAGCCCCAAGATGCTAGGAAGGTTGTACTCTCCAGAAGCGAATTTCATTGTCTTTCATTCTGTCCAATAAATGCACGCTTAATGCATCTCATTGGTGCCACTCTGTGCTAGGCCCTGGGGATTCAAAAGTGAAAGAGAAGGTCTTCACCTTCAAGTTGTTCAGTCTTCCCGGGGAGAAAAACATGACCACAGACAATTTCAGTATAACAAGACTATTGTGACCACCTAGAGATGAAAGGCTTCAACCCTGGTCATTACTGACATTTTGTAATGGGAAATGGGAGAGGTTCAGGAAATGGTTTCCTGATGGTGTTTGACTCAGGGAGGAAGAACAGTGTGTTTCAATGTCCCCTTGTTTTTTTTTTGGGGGGGGGGAACTAAAGGGTATTTGTTGTTATTGAGAAGAAGAAATGGAAAACTCTGGAGGTTAAACAAATAGGAAGAGTTTATTTTTCTTTTATGGCTTATGAGGCCAGTTAATGATTAGTGAGCCTCAAGCGGGTGTTGGTGGTAGGTCGGCCTATGTGCTCTGTCTGACATTAGGGGTCTGCTTCATACCAGCACTGAGACTCCAGGCTCAGCGATGCCCCCAGACCTCTGGGCGAGAAGCGTCTGGTTGTGGGGACCTCTTTTGTGGCTCAGCGTTGGAAGTTCAGGTATGTTGGGGGCTCGGGCCTTGGGTGGAACTTATCTTAGTCAGAGAGTTTATTTCTTAAATTGTCTACATACGCAATACTAACTGTTGGGAGGTCCCCTAAAAACCCTTTCTTTGCCTCTCCCAAAGTGAATTTAAAAGAGGGAGGAAAAAACCCCTACTATCATAGTGGGAATGATTGGTAAACAGGGCACTTTCTCAGGTCACAAAAATTGAAACTTCCCCTGGTTGACTCATTTTCTAAAACCTGCGTTATAATCTTCTTCACCTTGCACAAGCCAGGGTGACTATAAGAAAGCAAAATTTAATTAATTCCAAAATTTAATTAATATTCATTTTTATCTTAAAAATGTGCATTTCCCCAAGTTATATTTAATGTTAAAAATTAAAGTTTACAATCTAATAACGGTTTTGTCACTGAGATTGTGATGTCCTTTCTAATGCCACTGAAGGGTTTGTCACACGTCCCTGGCTGGATTATGATAATTAGTTTCTGTGAACCACAGATGCCCCTTAGAGCAACCTCCCTCAGGTGCCATTTGTGTTGGATCTCTCCCCTGGTAAAGAGCCAGCCCATGGTTCCCACTTGCTTTACATAGCAAACTGACACATACACTGCCCCTCCTCACCCCACCTACCAGGGCAACACCTTCAGAAAGAGCCCTCCTTATGCTTCTGAAAGCAGACTGCTTTTTAGTCTTCTTCCCAAGATGTTTCTCTCATCCCTCAGCTTTAGAATGTGTTGTTCCTCTGCCTGGGGTTGCTCATACAACCCTTCGGTTATTTCTGKTTTTTTGGGGGGTAGGGGTACTGAGGATTGAACCCAGGAGGGCTTAACAACTGAGTCACACACCCAGTCCTTTTTTTGTCTTTTATTTTGAGACAGGGTATTGCTAAGTTGCTTAGGGCCTTGCTAAATTGCTGAGGCTGGCTTTGAACTTGCCATCCTCTTGCCTTAGCCTCTGGAGTCATTGGGATTACAGGTGCGGGCCACCATGCCTGTCCCCTTGGGTTACTTCTATTCTTCACATCTTCCAGGAGGCCTCCCATGGTTCCTCWCTCTCTTGCAACACTTCATTCCTCTGCAACACCTTTTACCTGCTCCAAAGTCCACRTGGTGATGTGACTGTGTTCTCTCCCTGCACCCAGGGGCTTTTCAAGGTGCTGCTTGGCTTCCCATGGACTTTCTCCTGCTTCAATCATTTGCTTCCTCAAAGTGTGGATATGATTTCCTGCCTCTTTTGACACGCTTCGCACTGTGCTCTGTATGCCACAGATGCTCAATGAGTATTGCTGTGTCGCTACTCAGGGGAGCTCAGGTCAAGCAAGAGGGAACAGGCTCTGGGTCAGGACAAACTGATTGGAACCCTGGTTCTGTTTCTTCATGGTTGTTTGAGGAAGTAACTTTTCTTTACCTGTAATTGGAGATTATCCTTACCAAATAGGAACACTGTAAGAGCTAAATGAGACAATCTCTGCACAGGGTCTGACCTTTTGCAGTTGCTTATTCTCTGGTGATTTTATTATTGGCAAATGGTTGTATGGGACAATGGAAGAGGAGGGAACAGGGCTGCCATGAGCTACTTTGGAGAGAAGATGGAAGATGTACTGAAGGTTCTTGGGTGAGCTGTGGAGGTGGACTTGGCAGCCAATTTGCTCCTGCTTAGCAGCTCCATGCCTACTATAGGGCCAGGAAGCATCTGTTTGGTTGTGTTGATTTGAAACTCAAGGTGGGAGAACTAGTAGCAAACTGCCTTCAAACTCTTTTTGGAACCTCATCTTTCAGCAAGCCTAGAAGCCTCAGGCACAGACTAAAAATACTCAGAAGGGGACTGAAATGGAACAAATTATATTCCATGCATGCACTATTCTGTTGAAAAGAACCAATTATTAGGTATAACTACAATGCACTAATAAAAGCTCTTAAAAAAGAGTTCAGAAATACTGATCCAGGTAGCAGGGTTGGGGTCAGGATAAAGCTAATCCAGTTCCATCTTCATATGTGGGCAGCATTCCAGACGCCGTGGGCAGGAAATAAGCTGGTAATTATTTAATAACAGGGCCTTTGTCTGCCTCCATTTTTCTCTGGACAGCTATCTGTTGCAGACCATTCTCTATTTCCCATCTATTTCTCTTCCTTCCCACCTTAACTGAGTGTGTTGTCAACGGTGACGATATATATTGAGTCAATGTTTCCTGTTCTTTTAAAAGTGCTATATTGGAAATCAAAATGGACAGGTGGATAGGTAGAGATACTGTGTGTGTGACCAAGAGGGACATGTACCAAAAGGGAAAGGAAAAAGAGCGTAACTGCATTAAGGCAGTCGAGAGGTAGAGAGATCAAGAGAGAGGAAAGGAAAGGAAGAGATCAAATGAGCGTGAAGGAGGGAGGTTAAGGAGGTGCTGAGATGCCAGTTGATCAGGAGGGTCCCTCTGTCACACTGGCATGGCAGCCAGTGCTCAAAGGCCYTGTGGAAGGTAACCCTCTTGTTTCTTGACTGGGCATCTTCACAACCTTCCATAGCAAACCTGGCCACAGCAGCTTTCTCCTTGGACTGGGGGAGGTCAAGGCTGTTGAGCTTGCTCCTTGATCAAACTGTCCCTTGTGTGTGCAGGCAGGCTGTGTGTGCTCCCCTAGGTGGTTTCTGAAGTCTTCTACCTGAGTCAGGTGTACTCTCATCACCTGTGTTCCTGGCTGCAGACCTGATGTCTGTTTCCTGCTTACTTTAACTTTCCCCTCTGGACTCTGAGTCCCTGAAAGTGGCTATGGTTGGTATTTTATTCATCCTTAAATCCCCAGAGCCTAACCCAGGACATGGCCCTCAAGAACCATTCAGTAAACCAAAGGCCATGGCGGCTTAGGAGAAACTGAGCAGATTACAGGCCTCGTTTTCACTTCTTGACATATATGGTAGATTAATTAAATGACCCTAGTTCYGAAGTAACACTTTCACCAAAAAATGGGGTTCAGAGAGTGAATAATTTCAGCCACGTTGCTGACCAAGTGATCTGTAGGTCATCAGAGAACATGGRTGTGTCTGCCAAGGAGGCTAGGGCTCAGAGGGAGTGCAGGTTCAGGGCCTGTAGTGTTGAGCTGAGGGCAGAGGTGGCTGGGGAGGAGAAGCCAGGGTTGGACCTGCAATGCTGGCCTCTCATAAGCCAGCCAATGCCATCCTTGTTGAAGGCTGGGCTGTCCCTACATGTCTGGTAAGAGCCCACCCTCAAGTCAGCTGTGTTGAGAGCCCCTGCCCTCCTCCCACCCCRCAGTGTCCTCTGAAAGCATGGTGGAGGGAGCCCATAACCCCAGACACACACCTCCGTTTCCACCATTTCCTCCACATTGGACAGCACAGTGTCTAGCTATGGTTTTGAGCCCCCTTTTGTTCCTGTGCACCCCACTCCCTTCTCGGCCCAGGCCACACAATCAGATTGCTCTAGACAAAGAAAATTTTTTAAAACAAAAGCATGGGTGAGATACCAGTCTGCAGAACACACCTCAGACAAGTAAAGACAGGATCATAGAGATGACGTTTCTAACATTTACAGAACATAGGTCAACCTGTGTGAACCACAAGCAGCTCAGGTGAGGAGAAGGAGCCCTATGTAGCTGGGCCCCAAGATTCACTTCCCATGGGGGAAGCTGGGGCTTTGCCAGGGTCGTAGGAACATTATTCAGCATTCAGGCCCAGGAATGGGAAACTATGGGTGCTTTTCAGACTTGGACAAACCAGTATGCAATTCTCCACCTCTCCTTCCTATTGTTTATAAACCCCTGGCATGTCATGGAGATAAAGTGAGCACAAGGAAAAAATTGCAAGTTTCAAGATTCAAAAATTTTCAAAAGGGTACAAGCGATACATGGAAATATATGCAAGTAGGAAAAACTCCCACAGTTCTAAAGGTATGCTATAAACTCACTATATATATTTATGTGTACTGTGTATTTTTTCTTTATCTAATACATATGTATTATATGTATTTTTGTGCCCGTGTGTGAAAGCCTCCGTATCAACACATAGAGCTACCTTGTTCTTCTTAGTGACTTTATGTACTATATACTATGTTGAAAAGGATTTATATATTGTGCATTTTTGCAGATATGAGAAAAATTTCTGTGCAAAGAGGTCGTAATTATTCATTTAGTTCAAAAGCACATTTCCTACCTGTCAATACTCTGCTATATCAAACATTTTTAGTATTGTTAATCTGATAGGAAAAATAGTATTACAACATTGACTTAATTCTTATTTTTATTATGATTAAGGTCGAACATCTGTATTGGCTATTTTCACTTGCTTTCAATTAATTGCCTGTTTAGGCTCTTTGCCTGTTTTTTACCCTTAATTGTTAGAGCTCCATAAAAATTTGTTTTTTTAGCATAGGAGGAGTGAATGCTTTTCACCTGCATGGCTCCTTCCCACACCCCATTTTCTTTTTTCAGAATCATCCAGCTATTCTAGTTCCAAGTCCTCAGTGAATCCAGGTCAAAACAGCTCTTCACTTACCTCACCTTAAAGTGGGCCCTGGGGGTCTTGGTGAAGTGGCCCTTATCACACAAGACTCAGAAAAGTCACACAAGGCTCTTGCTCTGCAGAGTATCTGGGATGAGGATGGAAGTCTCTTTTTAAATTTCTTCAGCAAGCACATCAAGGCTCTTCAGATGTCCAGAGTTCACTGTCAGTTGCCCTCCTTCATTCAGAAAACCTCTTCACATGTGAACCAAGCCCTTGGTTCCCATGCTCAGGCCTTGGACCTCAATCTGCTATCCTTGCCCTGCCCTGCTCACTGAGCCCCACTGAATCTACTAAGGCCTCTTTTTCTCCCGGGTTCCCTGCAGCTGCCTGATGTCTAGAATCTCCTCACCACTAGCAACGCCAGGGCATCCCCTTGGTGAGGATCCTTCCAGCATCAGGTTCTTGCCCCCGCACTTTCAAACTTTCTCCTAGGTCGACCCTAGTGCAGAGTCTCACACATGCTGGTTTGGTTATTCCCAGCTTGAGT